CGCTCCAGATATCTGGCACACACAGACCAAAAACCTTTATTTTTATTACCATCATTTATACTCTCTCACAATTTACAACTCTTACAATTTCTTAGTTCTGACATGAGTGTCCTGTACTTGTTTCTCCTTGTTTCTCTTTTGGTAAATGTCTACCTTGTTTACTATAAAATCAGATTTTACAAAACTGTTTACTTTAAAAGCAGCAGATTTCAATTAATACATGCCAAGAAATACTACATACAATCTTTAAAATATATAGAAATATGAGAGCGGTCCTCATGAACCGTGTAAGGGAGTCAGCCAGGGGCACCCCAAGCAACTCTCCACAACAGGCAGAATTAACATGGGTGGAAGTTTCTCCTCCAACACGTCCTTCATGTTCTCTTTTCTGAGACTCACAGATTTTACCACCATGCCTAGTTACCCTCTGGGTCAGTTCAAACACTCAAACTCTTCTTGCACTATGAAAGAATTTGGTGTTAGCAACTACATTCAAGCAAGCCAATTCACCAGAAGTCTCATGTTACTCCAACAGCTTGGCACACATTCCAAGAACGGAAAAATTCCTTCCAACTACTTTTATGCCTCACATCCCTGGCTAATCTGTAAGTTCCCTATTCTGGATTTCAACTCTTTCTTTCTTTCTCTCCAGATTTCCACCACTAATCTGGGCATGGTTCATTTATTATCTGCACCCAGGTTCATCATCTTTGTTGAATCAGGCTAAAATCACTGTCTTGGCTAATGAATCACTGAGCTCTGCCCACAAAAAACCTCTGACTGGCATTTGTCTTACTTACTGACCTTTGGCCTCTTATTCATTTCTTGAGCCAAACTACAGAATTGGAATTCCTTTCTGGATGGACTCTTCAAGAGCTCACACCCCTTTCTCTTTATGCTCTTAAAGTTCATTTTTCTCAACTTTCCATAGAAATCAAGACAGCTAGTTTTTTTCCCTAGATACCAAAAAATACTTAAGATGACATATCTATAATTAGTAACTCCTCTCTCTCCATTCACAATCTCTTTTGGAGGGGGCTGTTGTCTTTTATAACCAGGCATTACTAAGTGAATAAGTGATAAAAACTTCAGAGAGAGATGATTCCTTTAGAGACTGTTGTCCCCAGTTAGCACTGACACTCCTGGTAACCCCCGACCCCAAACTATTGCTCCCCAATAATCCTTCAAGTTGCAAAGAATTTTTTTCTGTTAATGATAAATCTTTAGTTCAAAGAAACACTATTCATTCACATGCACTCTCACACATTTGTTTTAATTAAAGATTTTTATTTATTTATTTGACAGACACAGAGAGAGAGCACAAGCAGGGGGAGCGGCAGAGGGAGAGGAAGAAGCAGGCTCCCCCATGAGTAGGGAGCCTGATGCGGGGCTAGATCCCAGAACCCTGGGATCATGTCCTGAGCCAAAGGCATATACTTAAGTGACTGAGCCACCCAGGTGCCCCTCTCTCACACACACACTCTTGCTCTCTCTGCTTAGTTTTCTCCATTGAAGAACTTGGAATACTCTGAGTACCTCAACTCTATAATGCACGCACTCACCCCCATCTTTATGACCCCCTCCAAAAGAAAAGACTTTTCCTTCCTAAAATTGATCAAGCAACATCCCACAGGTAAGTGGACTCTACTGCATTTATATAACGCAGGACTCCTGATGGCTTTGCCAGGCAGTCTAGGACACTTCCACCCAACCTTCCCTGGCTCTCTCCCTCACTGGGTTCAGACCTGCACCACAGTCTCACTTGCATCTCCCTCCTTCCCTGCCCCTTGCCCCACCCCTTTTCTTCCACAGGTATTTGTCCCAATAAAATGCTTGCATTTAATCCTGCCTTGGCATTTGCTTCTCGGAAGACCCAGCCTGACACATCGGGATTAATAACTTATTTAATATTATATTTCCCTGAAACTAGCAACTTTTAAATGGGTCCTCAGAAAATGGGTAAACAAACAGGGATTTTGTAAAGTAGATCTCAGATACCGAGTTCCTCCTTCTCCATTCCATTCACCCCCACCTTGAAAAGGAGACTAACAAAAAAAATTAGGCTTTTGAATAGTTGTATCAAATTAATAGCTTTCCTAATATTAAGAGATTCTTCTTTATGTACAAATTCATCCAGTTCTAATAAGAAGGGAGCAAGTTAGGAACTGTTACTTGAAATTAGCTACTTAGGTGTCTGTTTCTATGATTTAACTATAAGCTCCTAGAGGGTTGGCATCCCATTTCATTCATTTTTTTTACTGAGTACTGGATTCGTAGCAAGTACTCAATAAATAATCTACTGAATGGAAGCAGGAAATGCTCAATCACAGTGAAGTATAAAGATGGGGACAATAGTTCCTAGACCCTTCTATGGATATGAAAAAACATAAAATATATCTATTATCTTCATTATATAAACCATAGAAAATAAACTTCAAGTTCCATTTTATAAAATATAGAAAGCAAACATCAACAAAAATCTTAACTATAGTGGGAATAAGCAAAAGATAAAGTGAGGAAGATTATAAAGAATTTATTTTAAACTGTTGAGAAACTCTAACAGTGATACTCTTTTGGTCAAAAATGGTTATCTTGCCTTTCTAAGAACTGTCCAATACATAACATCTGGATTTAGGAGAGTAAGTTGCAATAGTCATGTGGCTAGAGCCATAGATTTTATATATATATATATATATGCTATGTATACTATATAAGATATAGATTTCTTTCTACCAATAAACTTCACCCTACTGTAGACATATTCAAACTTCATTATTCATACACTGCCGACAGACAGAATTATGTTTCTCCAGAACAAAAAGTCCTGTATCTTCCTACCATGTCAGGTAAAGGAGTTTCTTTAAAACAAAATATTGATCCACTTAGATGATAGTGGAAAGTTGACATTTACAAAATATTTCCATGACAGCAAATGGAAATAGAACTAAAAGAATTGAGAGTTAGATAATTAGACCCCACAATTTCTGATTCCTTCATTGTCATTAAGAAGAAGAGCAATTTATTTCACCAACTGTTGGCATATTTGTGATGATTAAATTCTTACTATAGCAATGAAAACAAGTGTATCAGTGGAAATCTCAAACAATGAAGCTTTAACTAGTATTTCCCATAATAGATGAATACGTCTAAATTATACCTTGTCATTGAGGAATTTTTGCTGTACATTAATGGATTTAAAATCTAATTAACTTCCCTATACTCTTTAAGAACACTACAATAACACTGACTTGACTCATAACTTTTAAGTACACTTAGTGAACTGGAGAAAGTGGAAAAAATATTCCACATACCAGAGGCAGAAAAAGCAGAAAACATTTTTCTTCCTTTCCTTTTCATTATTTTCCCCCAGAACCTATTGCAAGTGGGGTGAGATTAAAGACAAAAGATATATCTAAAACAATCTACAGTAATTTAAAATGATTAATTCCAGGTCTTTTAACATATAAAATGCTCCAGTGGAAATTTTAGGTAGAGTAAATCCTGTCGAACTGCAAGTTGTCACTGAAGTATCTGACATCGGGAAGTCTAATTTTTGCACTACAACCTTAGGAAGAAAATAAAACCATAGCTCTTCACATTTCAAATTAACATCACTTTTCCTATGAGTCAACCAAATAACAGATATGAATTGAAGTACCTACCAGTTTTAGGGTATGATAAAACATTTCATGATGAGTCCCCAGTTAAAGGAACTAATCCTAAAGAATTTAACATGTGCTTTATATGAAAAAATTAGAAAAGCAAATAATTCTAAGCAGTTAAACAGAAGTAATGAATATATGAAAATTTTCAACTGAAGGTTAAGAAAAACAAGGAGACCTATAATTTTAGAAAGTATAACAAATTTGGTAGCAGAATAGAAAGATATGTAATTTTCTAGAAGAGATATTTTTTATTTAATATAGTAAGCAATGAAATTCTAATTATAAAAAGTGAGTAGGTAGAAAAGAAACATTTATTCCTTTCCCAAGGATACTATTTTCCTAGTTAGCTGTCTGAAGCCATTCAAACAAATAGAGTACATCTCAAAAAGCTGTTTACGAAATTTCATTATAAATGGCTTTGGTAACAAAATATATTATACATACTAAAAATAAGCAAGCTTTCATGCTATAGCCTTTTCTTTCTTTTCTTCATCCAACAAATATTTATGGAGCTCCTAGCACATAATTAAGCATTATTCTAGAGCTACGGATACAGCATGAACAAGATGGACTAAAATCCTGGCCAACATGGAACTTACTTTCTAGGTGAAATAAATGACAAGCAAGAAAATAAGTAAAAGGTCTAGTATGTTCCATTCTACTTCTATTCCATTGTCATTCTGCCATAATATTGTCCTCCGATTTAATGCTATTGGATGTAGTTTAAGTAAAATTATAATGTGATAAAAGCCTTTTGATATTTCCATAAACCCTCTTGGCCCGGTTCTAAGGTAGATCTGTCTTAAAAGAATTACCATGATATAAACCAGGGATCACCAAACTTTTCCTGTAATGAGTCATATATAAATATTTTAGGCTTTGCAGGCCACCTATGATCTTTGTTACATGTTCTTCATTTTTTTTAACCCTTTAAAAATGTAAAACCACTCTTACCTCACAGTCTATACAAAAACTTGCCAGGGCCTGAATCTGGCCTACTGCCATAGCTGTCCAACCTCTGCCCCAAATCTGAGTATCCCTGCTTTAAGTGGCTAGGTTTTTTTTACATTTATTCTTTTGCTCTTTATTATTCATTTTCCAAAATTTAATAAAACATTCTTTCCTAGAGCTACAATATTTCCAACCAGAGCAGCCTCAAAGTCAGTTCCAAGGAGCAGGCCTACCTGCTCTATTTCACACAAGCAACAGAGAAATACTCTTGGCAAAAAACCCTTTCTAAGTCTATATGCTTTAGAGAGATATGGTGGTGGAGGTTGTAGATGCTCTCCACTGACTTCCTAGGGCAGACGCACAGAAAGTCTAATGTTCCCTTACCTTGCTGGAGGAACATCAATATTGGAAGAAACAACTTTCCGTTTTTGCTCAAGGAGACAGATGGAGCGAGTGTTTTCTTTTTCATGGTCAAGGGCTCGGTTGGCTTTTTTGGTGTCTGCTGTTTTCACATCTTCCTCCATGGCCAAGGGAAACAAGTGTTGATGAGACATTTTTTTACTAGAGTCACGTTTTAAGTCCTCTGGTTGAAATGTGAAGGTCATTTCCCGCTTAATGCTCCCCACCTGTGAAATGAAACACAAAAATTCTTATTCACCCAGAACATCAGCTTTGCATAACTATATGCAGATGACCCTGGAAAAGAACACAGATTGGAGACCTCCTTGTTCATGTTAAAATTTTATAGTTTAAATGAAAAAAATGTAACATAAAAATAAGATAACTGACATTACAAAGTAATAGACATTTGATGCATCATCTGTCATAATGCAAACAAGCAGCATCACAAACATAAGAAGAACCTTTCAGGCATACAAAAACTTTGAAGACTTGAAAGCATAATGCTTCTAAAACAAATCTAAAAATTTAATACATCACTGATTTCTCTTCTACAACTGAGAAACTCAATTAAGTAAATAAATTCTTAAATATTTCACACTAATTATGTTGAATAGAAGAGTACTATAAACATAAAATGAGCCTTATCTTTGACTATGAATAATGATCTTAACCATACTCTTCAGTTCATGAAGAACTGTTTTTTATCTTTTATCTACAGAAGTTAAGATCTTAATGAAATCCCTTATTAGTATGATGATAAAAAAGTCATTAATTTTTCTTATCATTTTTGACTAAATACAACAGTGCTTAAGGTTTAAGGCAAATATAAAATTAAGCCTCAGGGCCTTGACTCTGGTTTCAGAATTTGTGATGACTAAAAACAAAGACTGAAGTTAAAGAAAGATTTTTGTAAAGGTGGTTGGTATTTTAAGTGAGGTTTGGAATGAACTTGTTAAAGTCATGAGTGTACAAAGAAGAGCCAGAGGGGGCGCCTGGGTGGCTCAGTCGGATAAGTATCTGCCTTCGGCCCAGGTCATGATCCTAGGGTCCTGCGATTAAGCCCCACATTGGGCTCCTTGCTCAGCAGGGAGTCTGCTTATCCCTCTCCCTCTGCTCCTACCATGCTCGTGCTCTCTCTCCTATCTCTCTCTCAAATAAAATCTCAAAAAAAGAAAAGTGAAAAAGAAAAGAAAAGTGATCAGTACTCCACTGCTCAGTGGATTGTGTTTCAAAATACACACACCTATGAGGCATGTCCCAGGCCCATTCAACAGTTCACCCCTTTCGTGGACTTAGTCTGTAAAATCAAAAATCTTCACTTACCCACTAAATAGAGGATATGCTTGTTTCCTTCTTTTTAATTTTAGGTAGGAGGAAAAGCACAAAAAAATTGATCAAATAGATTTAGAATTACAGATGCTAAAGCCACAAACATAAGGCATTTTTAGAATAAAATGAGAATATGTGTGTTCAATAATAGCATACTGGCAACATATGATACTAAAGACCAGAAATTTTCAGACTAAACGGAAACTCTGAGGCATGCATGTTAGAGTCACAGGACCCGCTCACATATGAGAATTCCCAGAACCCAGTGATGAACGTGTGCCTTGGAGTCCACTTGGCTGGAATGTCTCTTTCAAATGAACATTGAGCTCTAAACTGAGCTCTCTTCTCTCCTTGGCCTGTACTTGTGAGGACAAAATGATCTTCTTCCGGTGGGGTTCCTGTTAGACCTAGCCCCAGGAAAATGATCAGCCACTTTTGGTCTTCTTGCAACTCATTAAAAAGTTACCATATTTCTTAAAATGAGTGCTTTTAAGAGCTGTTTTAATGACATCAATACACAATAGAAAAATATAAAAAAATATTTCACACTTCAAAAAATGCAATGAATGTTCAATAAAAAAAATGTAGCTTGGAAAATCTACAAATGTAATTACTAATATTTCAAACATCCATCAGGAGTCACTTTCTATGTAACCTTTTCTGCCTGGAGGTAGGAGAGGGAGGTGATTTTTCACTTCCATAGCACCTCATTCCAAACCCATGTTACAACAGGGATACGCTAAACACCAGGCATAGAAGATGAAAACAAAGGCCTGGTTTTGACAATCATAAATAGTTTCCCCCTAAGTGTCAAGAATTGCATTAATTAAATATTTAAGTAGTCATTAGTATTAAGTTGTAGCAATAATTGACATCTATTCCTCCCTTGGGGCCAACTGTACTGGTTAAATGAATTCAATCCCAAGACAGGAGTAGTGGAGAACATTACAGGAAGCTCAGCTTTTAGTTTCAGAATTTTAGGGGAAAAAAATCCAGCATTCTAAAGCAAATTAATACAAAGTAGAATAAATTTCCTATAGAAATTGTGGTATAATTATATGTCATGCTTTTAGCCAAGACTTCATAAAAAAATACAGTAATATTCAACAGTGTAAGCTATAAATCTTCCATAATACCTCTTAAACAAAAAATTAATCTCTCCACAGTAATGAGGGAATTCTAGCAATGTAATGGATTTCAAAGACTATTTAGCCCAAACTCCTTATATTAAAAGTGGAATTAAAAGGAATTAGAAATGGACCAAAGAGGACAAAAAAATATAGTGATGAGTAAGTAGTTTGGTGGAAGGAGTGGGTGACAGGTGACCTTCATTACATTACTAAGCTTTAGAGTTTACATATAGAGATTACATGTTCTTTTTAACATTCTTTTATCCGTATCAGATAGTAACATTTAAAAGATTTTTTAAAAGAAGAGTTCACAGGAAAGTAGAGAGTGGGGAGAGTACATGAAGTCAAATCTTGAGAAACTGGGCCTGAAATGGCCCAGAGAGATAGGATGGTGGCTGGAGAGATGCTGGACAAGGGAAAATGTTCTAAGATGAAAGGTAATAGAGCATGTTTGAATGTTGAGTCAGAATGGAAAGAAAGGGATGAGTAAGGTTAGTAGTAGCAGTAGAAGGGGATAGGGCTGATATCCAGGTGTTGCACCGTTAGCAGATTAGCAGAAGAACACAGCAAAAGGAATCTATGAACCTTGATTAAATTTGCACCCCTATTAGATTAGTGGAACAAAGCAGCTAAAGGAAGATATGGTTCCATTTATATGAGATTTCCAGAAAAGGCAAATCTATAAAGACAGAAAACAGACCAGTGATTGCCTGGGGCTGGGGGTGGGAGCAAGAACTGATAGCAAGTGCCCGCCAGAGAACTTTCTATGGTGGGGGAAATGTTCTAGAACTACACTGTAATGATATCTGTATGATGCTATAAATTTATTAAAAATCATTGAACTGATTTTTATGAGATGTATATTATGGTATGTAGATTATACTTCAATAGTACTGTTAATTAAAAAAAAAATAAAAAAGAACTAAGCCAGGAGTAACTGGTGTGGAAAGTATATTCACAAGAACCCTGAGACCAGAAACTGGGAAATTTCTGGTGCTTGTAAAGCAACTTCCATAAAGTCTATGAATCTTTTTTTTTTTTTTTGAAACACGGGTGATGTGGCAAGCCAGGCTGTCACAAGCAATTGCATTCTTATATCCTGCATACTGGTAAGATGGGGCTCAATCCAGTCCCCACTCAAGGCACGTCCCCTGGCTTTGTCACCCATGGAAGAGAGACACGTTTCTCATTCTTCCACCTGGAGAGGAATTTTTGTACTTCATCTGTCCAAAGAGGACACTCTTATTTATTTTTTCCCCAGTTTGCACAATGCCCTGGTGACAAAAGGAAAAGTCTTCTGATGATCTACATGGCCTGGGCCAAGTTAGCTTCCTTCCTAGAAGCAGATATCAATGAATTATGTGACTCCTATGAGCTGGATAGCTTTGATAATAGAAATGTTGAGGGTATCAGAAGAAGCACTCTATGCTACAGCTCAAAAGGAGGCAAAGGCTTCAACACGGAAGACAGCCAGAAAACAAACACAATCTAGAAGCCCCAAGTGACAAATAATGAAGAAAAACAGCAAGACTGTTGACTAGTAATTTCTAGGAGGAAATACAAGGCTAAGGTTTAGGAATAATGTTAGTCTAGATTAAGAAAAAATAAAGTGTCTCCTGCCCAGGAAAGGATTCATCTGACTATCCCACACTGATAAGACTAGACGTTAGAAGGTAGCAGTATTTCATTTTGGTTGCACATTTCAAGATGGGCACGGACAAATTGGAATAAAGACAACAGAATGATCAGTATGGCAAAGGATCTTATTGGGAGGAACGGGGAGTATTTTGTCTAGAAAACAGAAGAGTTATGCCCCACACAGCTGCTCTTAGATGAATGGAGAGCTCTCCTAAAGAAGAGGAATTTGAGTTCTCCTGTGTTCCTCTAGAAACAGGATCAATGGCAATCACTTCTGCTTCCAACTAACTCCCATCTGACCTTAGGGTTTACTCGCTCTTCCTCTTTTCTTCTTCTTACTCTTTTACCACATTGTAAATGAAATATTGTGTATCTATAAGAAATACCACTTTCTACTTACCTGTGTTTTCATGGAGACATAAACTGTTAAGTAGGTAGATTCTCAGAAGCTACTTCATCTCACCTAAACATTTTATTTTTCACTGTTTCTGTAGAGTTTAAATGTACTTTTCATTTTTAAACGTGTTACAAAATATATGCTAGTTATTAAATTTTCAATAAAAATATGTATAAAATAAAATGGGGAAAGCTTTCTATTCCTCCCCATTCTTTTCCCCGCCTGCCCAGTCAAGTCCAACCCTTAGAGAGAACAGCTTTTAACGATTTACTGCAACATGTCAAATTACTTAAAATGCATTAAATACCTATCAATGCATATATACTATTTGGAGCATCTAAACATGAATGTGATTATACTACATGTATTATTCTGCAACTTATTTTCTTACTTCACAATAAATCAGGGGCAACTTTTCATATTAGTAGTAGATCTACTAATTTTTTAAAACACTGAAAACTATAACAGTTCATGAGATCAGATTTTTTAATTGATCTTTTTTTTATGAGACTTTTTTTTAAGATTTTTAAAAATTTTCTTTATCTGACAGAGAGAGACAAAGCGAGAGAGGGAACACAAGCAGGGGGTAGTGGGAGAGGGAGAAGCAGGCTCCTCGCTGAGCAGGGAGCCTGATGCGGGGCTTGATCTCAGGACCCTGGGATCATGACCTGAGCCAAAGGCAGATGCTTAACAACTGAGCCACCCAGGCGCCCCTAACTGATCTCTTCTT